GGAAAGCTATCTTGCTGACTCATCACTTCACCATTTACGATGCCAAACTCTATCTCCCCCTCTCGTACGTATATGTACAAGTGGACAAATTCAGTTTATTAGATTTGTGGTTTCTCTTGTCCAATTAGATGTAATTACTTTTTTTTAAAAAAAAAAATTTCTAATAAGCTAGCATCTGGTTAGAGGTCATATGTGGAAGATGATGATGATGATGTCAGGAGTTAGGTTTAGCTAGATTTTGGTTATATTTTGTTTTGGGTTAGGGGCAATTTTACCTTTAAACCCTTCTCTTACAGAGATCTGGTATCTTTTTAATCAACCATTATTCCTCCGTCTTCAACTTCAAATGACTTAATTAAAATGGTTTTGGAACGTTACGTTATACTATCTAAGGAAACTAAAGAAACACAACGTTTATTAATTGGGCAGATTTGAGCCGTTCAATCGTTGAATTGAGTGTAGCAATCGATCTGCGTTTTTTTAGCTATCTTGATTTTAGCTTCTAAATGCTCATATCAAAGCTTCATTTCTTTCATAGGATCAACTTGTTAAACATTGAACGATTTATACTTTCTGTTCTAATTAGAGGACAATGAATAAAATCATGCCGATTTTTTAGTGAAATTATTAGACATTTAAAATCCCTGAACTTGTGTACGGTGGAAGTAGGTGGTGACTTAATAGGTGACTGCGTGATGAGATGCTTTTGGTGAGAAGAAGATGATGAAGGAAATTAAACTGATGGTCGTATTTAGTGGCCTACCTAAGCCTCCTTGACTTGTGTTCCGATCGACTCCATCTTAATTATACTTGCTTTTGAAAAATAAAATCCTTTTTATTTAGTTCCAAGCCATTTCTCTTTAGTTAACTTCCACATGCATATTTGCATATGCAGTACCATGCACCAATCGCCCAGCTTTTTTCCAAGAGTTTGGTTGCCCAATTTCCTATTCCGTCTCCCTCATATATAGTAACTATATACTCGTCTCGTTCTATTTATAAGACAGCCAGAGAAGATATTTTTTTTATTTATACAGTACTGAGAAATTTTTTTTTCATAGATATACAATGTTACCCCTTATTTATTATTATGTTGATTTTATTTATGAGGTATAATATATATTAAATAAGAATAAAATGAGAAATTTATTAAATTTTAAATGAGAGTTAATGAAATTTAAGATTTTTTTTTATTTATGTGAAACATACTGGAAGTACCTTATAAATAGGATCAGGAGTATATAATTCAACCCATCTACTTCTCCATTAAAATTTCATCAACTTTAATTAGCCTCTAGGTTAACCCGATCCCCTCATTCTAACTGAAAATGACTTTTTTTTTTTTTTTTGATCTGATAACTGAAAATGACTTTAAAGCCAGACCTTTTAAAACACTTTATTGCATTTAATCTCGTCATAATTAGCATTGCTCTACTGACATTAAGGCTGAACCCGCTGCTCATCCCTTCATCTATACTCCTTTTGACTCAAAATATAAACTAAATTTTATCTATTATGTTTATTAAGAAACTAATTAAAATCAATTTAAAACAATAAATATGTAAGACATATATTTATTTTTTCTAATACACCCTTATTAATAAAGAGAATAAGTAAAAAAATATAATAAATAAATTAAAGAGAAGAGAGAATATGTGGGGGATAAAATTAAAAAAATCGCATTAAATGTTTGGATAAAAGTAAATGTTATCTTATTAAAAAAATAACTCTTTTAAGAAAGTTTAGTTTATATTTTGAACCGGAGAAAGTATTATTGTGCATAATGTATTTGGATTCAAGGTCCCGTGTGCTACAAGTTCGGAGAATTTGTGAATCCCTCCTTATTCTAAAACTTTTCAAGGTCTGTCTCACGGCATCCAAGTTGAAAGAAATAAATTGAACAAGTACAGCCATTTCTTATTGGGATGTACTATTAAACCAAAATTAGAATCATCTGCTGAGAATAATGATAGAGCAATTTATAAATGTCTCCGTAGTGGATTTGATTTTAATTTGGTAGAAAGTTTCTTGTTTGAAAATTTAATTAGTACTCCCTCCGTTTCTTATTATAAGAGACATTTGATGCTTATGGCATGTTCCTATATATAAGAGACACTTACAAGTTGTCTCTACTTTTTTGTGTTGATTTACTATTTTACCCATATTTATTATCTCCAACTCACACTCTTCCTCCCTCCCACTTCTCTTTTTTAATAATTTAATTATTCTCTCTCATGCTCTCTCTTCTTATTAATGAGGGCATTTTTGGAAAAAAGTTATACTTTTTATATATTAATTGTTCTTAACTAATTTTAACTGTTTTTTTGATCAACGTACTTCGGTTATTTGTCTCTTATAATAAGGAACGGAGGAAGTAACTAAGAAGTACCTGATATGTTTTTATATATAAAAAGTACTGATACCAGATTTCATATATAGAAAGTATTAACACGCAAATTCAAGTATTTGACAAATAAAAGTAATTATAAAAGATTATATCATTATTTAAATTTGACATAAACAAAAATGAATAATGTGGTGATGGTTCTCGTATCTATCAGCTGCCTGCCAAGTTCTTCCAATCGTTTAATCTAAAAATCTGTTGGCAATGGACATTCGTACTGGTATGTTTTTGGGCAGGCTGAAGTTCGTACTTAACACTACCTTAGCTTTTTAATATAATAATATAAGATTTTATTTGATTTTATTTTAGTTTTAAATATAAAATTTAATCTATTTTATCTCTCTTATTTATACTTTTTTTTTTAAGATAGTCTTTCTAATAATAGTAGTTTTAACCAATATATTTAATTAGTAAGGATATTTAAAAAAAACAATACCTATTTATTACAAATAACTAACTTAATTTATTTTTTTAATCTCTTCAAATTAATCAACTAACTGCTATAATTAGCACCAGAAGTCATCATATTCACCGTACAAGGGCAGCAACGAAATGACGACATTGTCCTTGACCAAAATACGAGAGGAAAATGACGTTTGCATTCTAGTGATATCTCCACCCGGCAACGCCTTATCGCAAGGATTACAAATGCCACTGGAGGTGAAGAAAATTACATCATTGACCCGCCAACGGCCTAGGCCAGGCCCAATCAATCACGACGCTGCTTTTTCTTATGACCCGCCGCAGTGTTTCCTTCGTAAATTTTTGGGGTGTGTTTGGATGAAACCAAACCGTAGTTTGGAAAAATGATTTTAGAGAATAGATTCTAGAAAGAATATATTTTATGAAAAAGTGATTTTGAGAAGTGAGAGTATTTGGATAGTTGTTATCAGAAGCACTTTTTATATATACAAATTACTAAAAAAAAGACATAAGTTAATATGATAATTACAAAAAAAATATATTTTATGATATATTTTAATTTGAAGGAATAAAATTGTTAATAATATATTTTTTATTAACATAATTAATAATACATAAAATAATATAATTAATAATTAATTAATATGTATATATATTTATAAAATATAAGATCAAATATGTTTATAAAAAAATATGTTTATAAAAAAAATAACAAGATACATATCCTATAGGCTCTCACACTCTCTCTCTTTTCTCCAAAAGCAAAAAAATTTTGCTTTTTCCAAAACCATGGTTTTGGTTTTTGGGTGGGTGTTTGGGTGATTCATTCCCCAAACCATGGTTTGGGGTGTCACCCAAACACACCATACTTGACTATAATTGTCCCGCTTACACCTAACCATATTGTTTGAAAAAGAAAACCCTTAGGTGAATACCAGAAGGACGATGCACCAAATCTTATAGGACAATGCTGTATAAGCATTTTAGAGATCCTCCTCTTAAAACCTCAGCCAAGATGTAATTTTCTTTGGGCACCACAAGATCTTATAAACATATCTAACATCTTGTATGTTTAAAATTTAACAGCGGGAATAAATTTAGTGGAAGAGATTAGTCCCTAACAGTATGGTGAACTAATGTTTAAATCTCCGTTAGATGAGATATTCACGTTTAATGCAAGATAATGCTTCAAACAAAATTAACTCTAATAGAGAGATATATGTGCCTAACAAAAAAAAATCAATAGTTAAAGATATATAAAAACTAAATTTTTTTCTGGAATAAAAACAAAGCTTAAACTTATTTGCTTATGTTTACTGCAATTAATTCTTTAATCAAATCCCAGCATTTAAATTTTATCATAAATGATATAATTATAACCATCATATTTAAGTCAAGGGAGAAATAAAGATAAAAAACTTGAGTATTAAGATTTAATTGGAGAATTAATTACTATATTTTATAAATTGTAAAAATTGCAAATCATTTTCCAAATTTGCCAAATATTTAAAAAAAAAAAAACAAGACACACAAACTCACATCCAGAGCATGTCAAATTACTAAGACTGGAGCATGTAATGAAAAAGGGGTAGCATTAAGTGGGGAGGATAGTGATTAAGTTCAATCCTCACCACTAAAGTCCTCAGTAAATACACTCCTACCCCACCTCACTGCACGGATCCCCAAGCGGACGCTTTGCCTTTTTACAATTTTCTCAAACTTCATGTTCTCAAATCTCAAGCCTAATTTTGTGGACTTGAGTATTTGTACCTTTTCCGTTTCTTACCTTAGGTATTGAATGGAAGCTTGTGCATTTCAGGTTTAATATTTTATTAAGTAATTTTTAATATTTAAATTTATTTCTTTTAATTGAGAGTTAAAGAAGGACTGAGAGAGAAGAAAAGGGGAGAGAATCAAATCCTAATTTCCACCCAATTTATCGGCTTTTCTCGCCCCATGAATGCTGCTTGCTTCCCTAGAAACTTCAAATTACGCCTAATCCCAGAATTTAAAGAGATCCAAGGAACTCATATCATTGTCACCACTCTTGGTCTTGGACATAGCAGAGCACCATTCTGAAATCTCAATTGTCAATGGCAGGCACCTGAGTTTTGTTAGTCATTAATTGTTTGTTGATAAGTTTGCTATGCGTCATCATCATCCGCACGCATCTACACATTTTACTAATCCAAAAATCATATTCCCAAACTGGAACTGGAATTAAATTGCAGGGCAAGTTGCCAAGTTGAAAGATCTCAAAAATCTTCCATCGATTTCTTTTTCCTTTCTCTTCATTTTCTGTTCGTTTCCCAAGAAAATAGGAAGAAGAAGGAAAGAGCAGCTGCCTTCAGATGTCGAGTGGCAGTATCTTCGGTATCAGAATTTAGAGGTTGGAGCGACCAGCCAGAAGAAAGATCAACAAATAAAATTTCTGTCCTCCTTTAGATGACGGTGAGGCATATTTACAGGCAAAAATAAGAAAACAAGCTACCAGGAAGAAAGATGAAAATGAAAAAGATCTCACTATCTTTCTTTTCTATCTCTCTGTTTTTTTGTTTCTCCCAACGAAGCCATATCCTAGCAAAAGTCTTCAGAGGAAGGAGAGCCCAGGAGGTCGTGGATGTCACGCGCGTCGTCGTCGTCATGGTCGAGGCCGAGACGGAGCGCTTCGAGGACGCGCTCGAAGACGAAGACGTGACAGGGAATTCGAAGCACGCCTGGCTGCTCGTACCCGTACTCCTGCGCCGATTTGTTCAGAAGCTTCACGAAGATCGGGTGGTTCAGAAGCTCCGCGCTGACCACGAATCTCTCCATCTCATCACCTACGTAGACCGGCACGTGACCTTCCGGCACCGTATGCGATCGCCGAAGCTTGGAAGACGCCACCAATCGGAATGACTGTGACAGGCGCGGCCGCCGGTGGCGCGACTCGGATCGGAGCAGACTGTACTGAGACGAATCAGCGACTCGAGCGAGCCGGCGAATCAACTGCTTCATCTTCTCAAAGTTGGGAGCCAGGAGGAACCGGCGGGTGAGGAAAATCAACAGCAGGAGACAGTGGAGAGAGAAAGGAATGTATGGAATTGGCGAGAGAGAGGAGAATTGAGAAAGTGTGGTAGGTGTAAGAGGAAAGAGAAGTTGTGATGAGTATATGTATATATAAAAGACGGAGAGGGGGACTGTGCAGTTGGAGGGCAGTGAGAGAGGGGAGAGAGAGTCATGGCGATGCTGAGAGGAAGTTTGAGAGGTACAGGGAAGCGTACTTGGCAGGTACAATTCATTTTACAATTAAATTATTATTTAAATAATAAAATGGGATAAAACAATGAGCAAATCACATTTAATGGCCCAGCTTATTATACCATATTGCATTAATGTACGATATCATTAAACTTTAAATTAAATACTTATTTATTTAATTATCTCCTCTATTGGGAAATATTAGTGGCAGCCATTTGGATGTATTTTTATCATCTTAGGGCGATTTTACATTTTTAATATCTCTAATTTACAACTACTACTATGTTTTATTTTTGTTATATATAAGTCATTTATAAAAAAAATTATTTTAAATATAAGTCATTTATGTAGTAATCAATAAAATTAGAATTTTTCTAATTTTATCCATACCGAATATAATAAAAAAAATGTGGGTACATCATTTTTTTAATCCTCTTTCTTTAAGGGGGAAGTGAGAAAATTTTTATTAATTTAGTGCATCCCCTGATAAGTGAGCATGAACACAAGTGACTCATACATAGAACAGAATGATAATCATATTTTTTATGTAGTTAAATACTATATAACACCTCAAATATTTATTTATAACACATGTTAAAAGAATTTTTGATACATTCAATGTTCAAAAATAGTTTTTCAGTACCACAACATATACTAGAGTAATTTGTTTTTTTATATCCAGTCTTCTAAGTTATTTTTCTAATAACATTCATGTTCCAAGTTTAGAGTGCTTATTATTACTATGGAAAATATTTTAAGAATAAAATTGTGTCAAAAAATACTTTACAATATTAAGTGCTGCTAAAAAAATATTTTAAATTCTTAAATACATTAAAAACTAATTTAAAACATTGAATACCACTAAATTTTTTTTTAGAATACTGGTTTTTACATATCTTCTTCATATCACCTCGATTAATCAAATTATTGAAATTTATATAAAAAGTGAATAATTATTCGTGAATTTATTGATAGGCAAAGAGAACAAACCTAGAACTTTCCTTCAGGTCAAACAAGATTTTTTCTGCACAAAGTGATGATGTATTGGGAAATTTGGATTTTGCATTATTTTATTTTGGCCTTTTTTGTTGCTGGCTTTACATGGCGGTTTTGGAAGTTACCCTTGAAATGTGTGTGAGTGGGAGATATGTGGATGTCAGAACATTTATCACCGTTCAAATATTAGTAATATTTTTTTCAATTTGAAGGAAAATTTTGGATAGAATCAAAGATATTATATAGGTGGCATGCTCTCTTTCACCCCCTTTTCACGGTCCAATTAACTCTACAACATTTGTTATGCCTCACAAATATTGTTCCTTTCTTGTAACTTAGCTGTTATCTTCTCTCAAATAATAAAAATATAAAAATTATATTTAAGAAGTTTTTTTTTGGTTGGACTCAGGGTATCTATCACTAGTCACTGTAAACTTTTAAAAGAAGTTTTAGTGCTAATCACGAGATACTATTCACATATACCTCTAGAGTATACATTTAATTGTTATCTTTTCTCAAATAATAAAAATACAAAAATTATATTCGAAAAGTTTACATTTTTTTTTGTTGAACCTCATTACCGTTAGTTGCAGTGACTAATCCTCTTACACTGTAGATTTTTTAAAGAGATTTTATTACTAGTCATGAGACCTTTTCCATTAACATTGCTAGAGTATATATACATGTATTTTATTTATTAATATAAAATTTATTTTGATAGAAATGTTGGGAAATATTTATTGATTTTTTTTGTACTTGGTTGGTTTCTGTTTAATGCTCTAATATTTTTTTATGGCAAAAAAAAAACGGAGGGATAATTTTCCAATTTTCAGAATTACATCAAATTTGGTTATGTCTTCTCGTTATGGTTAAAAGCCATTTAGTGATATATGGTTAAAATCACATCAAATACAACAACGTTGCATTTAGGATTTTCTTTTTCATTTTATCAAATCTTGAATGGGAAAATGAAACCATCTAGAAGTTTGATTAGGTCAAATTATCATTAGGAGGCAGATTAATTAATTCTTACAGCATTGGCCCAAATTAAATTTTTTTTAAAAAGAAATCTATGTTTCGTGTCAACATTTAGAAATCCAAGGATCAGCAATGCTGAATATCTAATATATATGTTATTGTCCTTCTCTTTTGGTTGATTAATAACATAATTTTAGCAATTAATCATTCGTTGCTGGATAAGCCATGCTAATTTGTTAAATAAATAAATATATTCATCCTACGTATTAAGTTGACTTTCCACTCACAAATTCATCCTGTATAATTTTAGCGTTCACATTGCAATCTAACGTCTATACATTTCATAAAACAATATTTTTTTTTATAAATACTACGAGTATATCATTTTATTATCTTATTAATCACTTTCACTTTGAATTTTGAATATCATCAAGCTTTGATTTAATAAGTGGGCGTGCACACGCACATATTCTCTCTCGGATCCTATATGCTTCTAAGATGCTTCTGATAAAATTAAAGAGTAATGTACCCAAAAAAAAAAATTACGGTGCAATTAAATTGATAATATCGTTTTAAAAACAATAAATTTATCAATTTATTCTCATTCAATGTTTCATTTTCAAAAACGCTCATTTCTTTTATATGCAATCTCTTATTCTAATTATAGAAAAATGTTAAAAGGATAAAATTAAAAAAAAAGTAGTTAATAATTCATATTTTCGTGTAAAATGACTTATAAAATGGACAATCAATTTTTTTCGAAGGTCATAACTTATAAGACGAAAGGGAATGTATAAGTTAAAAGAAATTTAAATTTTATTTATTTACATTTTAATAATAATTTTATAAAATATTAAATTTATATCATATAAATTGTAACAATCCACTGGTTGAAATTTATGGAGGAAAATGTAGTGAAAAATAAATGTGGAGGGGCGAGCTTCCAAATAAATTAATGCATTCCGGAACAACGAATTGCAAATCAAATTAGTAGTATAAGTTTTTTTTTCCTTATCATGAGGCATGCAAATAATCACTGTCATATTTGCTAAACTATGTGCTACGCCTTTGTTTTTTCAGGGATTTGGATCACTTCTTTGTCTTTTCTCTCTTTTTCTTTCTCCTCATTCCATCATTAATATTATTATTGAATTACCATGGTAAGATCAAAACCATAGTTTCAGAAGTGTTTTTATGGTATACGAAATAAATATGTGAAAAAGTTTATCTCGATTTACGAAAAAGTACTTCTAAAAAGTGCTTATTGGGCTTCCCAAACACTCTGATTGAGATATACTAATTTATAGAACTATGATTATAAAATTAGACAATAGAAAGATAAATAAATTTAATTTTTAAAAATTTAACCTCAACAGGCCATAACTATAAATTATCTAAAAATAGGGGGAAAATATAATACTCCTCCGGTCCTTAATATAAGACCTAATTGTTGAGTTAGTTTTGGTTTTAAATATAAGACTCATTTCTCATATTTATCAATTTTCTCTAAATTACCCTTATGGATACTCTCTCAACTATAATCAAGTAGAAGAGGAAGATGGGGTATTAAGAAAGATGATTATGGTATTTTAGAAAAAACGTGTCACATTTCATATAATTAACTAACTTATCTAACTTCCTTAATCTAATCAAATTAGTTAAATAGGTCTTATATTAAAGACCAGAAGAGTAGTTGTATAAAATATTAAATCCCAACCCATTCATATTTTTTAATTCAACGATAGGGTTGTAACGAAGAGAAAAAAGAAAAAGGAAAAAGAGAATCCGAATCCCTCTTTCAGTTAAGAGATCTCTAAACAAAAGCTGCTCCAACACCAATATTTCATCTTTTTTTTATTAATGTTTATTTGAAAGACAAATAAATAAGAACATAGAAAGTAAGGCATTATTTCGGCTGGATCGGTTTATAAGAAATACTGCGTTCGATCCTTAATATAAGATTTCGTTTGATTTTTATTTTGGTCATAAATATAAGATCTCAATCTACTTTGTCTTTCATATTATGTAATTTTTTTTCAAGGTAGTCTTTCTCATAAAGGTAGTTCTAGCCAATATAGTTGATTAGCAATGATATTTAAGAAAGACAACATATATTCATTACAAATAATTAATTTAACTTATTTATTTAATCTTCTCAAATTAGTTAACTAGATCTTATAATTAAGACTGAAGGCAGTATATAATTTGTTTTGCACAACGTAAGGAAAACAATTAAAAAGAATGATTGAAGAAATTGAAAAAAAGGTAATAAAAGAGAAGAAGGAGAATTAGGGGGTGGAAAAGGCGTAGAAATATGGAAGTCCGTAGTCCGTTGCAGTACAGTTCCGTGACCGTGAGCAAGGATGTCCGTTTCAGATTTCCTCAACGTCCCTTCCCTTGTCCTTTTCTCTCCCACCCAAACCCACTTCTTCTCTCTCTTTTTAGCTTCCTTCACTTTCCCCCGTAACTTTCACGCGCCCTTCATCCAATCCTCGCATCTCATTTCGCAAAATTCAGAGAAGGTAACATTTAGGAGAGTATGTAGATAAAAATCAAATTATAATTTTAAAAATAATTTTACTATATAAGAAATAAATATGCAGAAAATTTATCTTGATTTATAAAAATTATTTTTAATAATATCCAAACACCTTTTTAGACGGTTTAGATCAGATTTAAACGATTTATATCCAATGTATTTGGATGGTCATCACAGCAAATTTCTTTTTCTTCCCTTTCACTTCAAAGATTTTTGATGACGTATATTTTAAGTTTGTCACGGACGGATTGAAATTTCCAAGTTCAAAATATCCAATCATGTGGAATTGACAAATACATCCAACCATTGACCTCCGCACTCTGTTTAATGTATAAAGATTCATGACCCATTTTCATAATGTAAACTTTTAGAATTTTGTTTAAATCATAC